TCAACAAAGAAGTGTGTGTGTGTGTGTGTGTAGACACTTACAGGCTGCTGGCTTGGGCTGATTTGACCTGAACTTTTTCCTGGTGGAGAAATTACAAGTTATTAAAGAATGACAGAAACCGGAAAGAATAAAGTTAACAAGAGTTAAACTACTCTGATGTTCTGTTTTTCTAACTTTGTTCTCATGAGAGAATAAACACAGACACATTCTCACCAATACTGCAGCCCTGGGGTCCTCATGGATGAGGATGTCTTCAGCCGACACTCTGCTTCTGTCCCTCTTCGTCAGATCTACAAGTACAGAAACAACCATCAAACGTCATTGATGACACTCAACACTAAACAGTCAACCAATAACTAAAAATGTAAGGGCTGTGTTCTCTAAGAAGATTTCGCTCAAGAGAAGGGATCTTTGTGAGCTTACTGGAGTCAGGATGGAGAAAAGCTGGTTTTCTGTCAAACTCTGTGAAACCAGCATAAGAGTTGACAGCTCTGATGTGACCATGACCTTCAGGATGAGCCTACAGCCATGAAAGCAGAGAGAGAAAGAAAGATAGCCGTGAGAGGGTTTTTAGTTCTTCTCAAACACTGATTAATGGAGAATCTCATTAAGTTTAATCTAATCATACATAATCAAGTAGTGTCACAACAGACAACACTGTGAATGTAGCAAACTAACAAAACACACAACTTCATAATTCCAGTTTGTCTGCAGTGTTTTCATGGAGGCTTCTCCTCCGAAAAGGAGTCATTATTAAAATGTTTCCTATGGAGTAAGGCGACATAAACCACCCTCAACTCTCGATTGATTCTGATGATCTTGTGTAATCAATCAGAGCAGCACGTCACTTACAAAATAATGATGAATGATAAACAGCAATATTTAGACATTATTTTGATTCTGATGTTTCCAACCATCTGAGTGATATCAAACATCGCCAATGTGGTATTTTAAGTTTTTTAGCGACTTGAAGGACATTTATAACACATCTGATCGCCAGAGGGTTAGAAAGTCTTCATAAAAAGGAAATGTGACAGAAATATTAAAATAAAAAAATATGTATACTGTACAATGACACATGTAAACACACCTGTGATCTGGTCTTTGTGGCCGGGCTTTGCTGTCTGCTGGAGGCTTCTTTGGGTGTTGAGTGCTGGAGGGCCAGATTATCTTTATGTCCTGGAGATATTGTAAGTGATTAATTTATATGTCAATGTTTATATGTTGATATGTCACATTATAAAACTGATATATGATTTCCTGTGTTAGTTACAATATCCAATCAAAGCAAATGCACAGATTTGTTTTACTGTTTTGCATTTACAAGACAAACACTTCCTGATCAGGGGACACAACCAACACAACAATGATGATGTAATCACAGATAAATAAAAGCTGTTTCTGAGAAAAAACTCTTCTCATGCCTCCACCAACCAACACATTCTTCGTCAATCATCTTCATCAAAACCAGACAACTTATCACACCATTCAGGCATTCAGGTCTCAAGACTTGAGTATATGAAAACCTCAGAACCACCCAGGAACAGAAGAAACATAAAAGCTCACACAGACAGAGCAGAGGGAGAGAAAAAGCCCACAGCTTAAAGTTGACTGGGATCCTGATCTGGGAGATGGACAGACCCGAGCACCGGGCAGATGTAGCCCTCAACTTCAGACTGAAACTCAAACCTCTTGTTGTGTTCCTCTTGTCAGGGGGGTCTTCTGACTCACTTTGACCATCACAGCAGGACTCTGCTGGTCGCAACTCACTTCGTTTCCTGTCTCTTTGTCTGTGGGGTCTCCTGGGTGCCACAGCAGGGGCATGAGCGCAACATGGCTGTGAGTTTTTGCTGTTGGTGTGACTCATTGATGATTCATCTTCAGGAGTCAGTGAGACTTCAGTGTCTGCACTTTGTTTACTTAGAGAGCCCGATCTCCCCTCGTCATCACAGAAAGCCTCATTCACGTACCCCCAACTCACATTAGTCTCACTCTCCCCTCTTACTGACCCCTCTGTGTTCTCAGGTTTTACAGAGCAAGCAGGCAAGCAGGTAAGCTGAGCAGAGCCCGAAGTCGAGACAACGACAACAGTAGGATACACACATACACTGTTTTCATCCTCCACTTTTTTCTTCTCATCAACACCAGATTCATCCTCATTCTCATACTCACCAACAAATGCACCAAACTCTACAGTGGTGCTGTCTGGCTCGAGAGGTTGCTGGTAAAGCCCAGCGAGAGCGAGCTCCGGGTGGCTGGAGCCACTGGGCTGGGAAGGGGTGCTGCTGATATGGAACTGAGCTCCAGGGGAGGGTACGTTGGGTAGGCTGGATGGGGAGTCGGAAAAGCCCGGCTCTTGTGGACGGGTCAGCTTACTCTGGGTGAGAGAATGGCCTCGGAGACGCAGCTCCGGAGGGGAAAAGGCCACAGCACTTCGGACAAAGGCACTGGAGCTGGCACTGCCTGAGCAGCCAGCCTCTGCAGCAAGGTGGCCGAGCCCAAACAAGACCCTCCTCTCTGGACTTGCTGGGTCGAGGTTGGGGTCCAGCCCCTGTCCTGGTCCAGGGGTGGGCCCGACTCTCCTGACACCTTCCGTTACAGCCCCTCCCCCTACACCAATCCCAAACAGAGAATCTGCTATATCGACTCTTGCTTGGGGGAAAGAGGAGCCGAAGTAGGGCCCTGCACTGCGTTTGCCTATCACGGACGATTTAGAGTGGGGGCCTGTGTCTGTTGCCACAGGGGCAATGCTGGGGCCCACATTTTTAGACAGGCTGAGTTCCCGGGTGATCTGATTGTGGACCTTGCTGGCCTCCGATGCCCTCTGAGCAGTGAGGGTCTTCAGAGTGTCCACAGTTAAAGCTGAGAGGTCCTGCAGGTGGCCGATTTGAGAGTCCAGAGTGTGCAAAGAGCGTTTTATAAAGTTGACCTTGTTCCCGACCTCCCTCAGTTGCAAACACATGGTCTCAACTCTGGAAATGACAAAGAGCATTAGTTCAGCTCTTGTTGCCTGCTAATGTTTAATTAAAATATATAAATGTTATTAAAAAAAGCATGTCTGACTGATCACTGACTGATTTTTCGAATTCATTACTAATCAAAGTTCTAGTTTCATATTTACTGTATGCTTTGCATCTTTTAAAAAAATGTAAAGACGCCTACCTTTCTGAGGTAAGACGTATTCTCTCCTCACTCCCCGAGTGAAACTGATCATCTTTTTCATGAAAGTATGTCTCCACACACTGCTCCTCAAAATCATGAAGCTTCTTTTGATCTTCTTCAGTTAGAAACAGCTCTAAAAGAAGATTAACAAAGAATTGAAAATACAGTACATGAATAAATTTTGGAGAACAATTGTTGAAAAGTATAGTTTTTAGTTAATGTACTCAATATTGACACACACATATGTATGAATGAATTGCATCATTAATCACCAACAGCACACCATGCGCATGCTGCAGAGTGACAGCAGTGTGGACGTACTTGGTCCGTAGGTATTCTCCTTCTTCCTCTTTCGACACATACAGAAGAGGGAGTAGATATGGCAGAGGAGGATGAAGGGCGGTGGGAGGACAGGCTTCTCGTGGTAGGCCATAATGAAGTGGTAGCGCTGGTACTTCCAAACCAGATTAGAAATGGACTTCACTTGTATATACACATTGCTGGAAAACAAGGCACAGGTATGGATGAAGATGAGGCGAACAACAGCAATATTTCATTTAATTTTAACTAATTTGAGCTGCTTTTCAGACATGCACTGAACTCTGGATAATATCCCGATTATATCTTGAGGGGCTGTATGTCAGAATGCAAATGTCTCTCTTTCAGTTTCTCCTGCCAGGCACCATGTAAAAATTCCAAATATTGTCCGAGTGAGACTGTGTGAAAACACAGCAGGAACTTATCCGCGAGTGGGCACGTTGATGACATTTCTGTTGATGGATGCAAAACTAGCAAAAAAACCCCCCCAAAATATAAAAAATGTAATATCTCGGAATACACGTAGAAGACGCTGAAATAGATGCCAACTTGGAAAGACAATGAGGTTAGATAGCTTTTGGTGATAAGGGCAGACGTCGGTCTTTTGTTAGTGGGCAAAAACACATCTTCAGAGCTGAATTTTATATGTTATGTCCCATCTCATGCACCATCCCTCCCCTGAATGCTCCAGATATTTCCCTGTTGTCGTGAATACGTTTGACAGTAAAATCTCCAACTCTTCATATGTGAAAGACAAACCCGGACAATGTTTCGACCCAATTGCGTGGACAATTTCCAGAGATCATGTCTGAAAATGGCTCAAAACTCTGTAATGTTGTGCACTTACTTAAAGAAGGCAATGAGGAGGTTGACCATCAGGATATACTGTACAAAGAGGTAGACTGCTTGTAGGAGAGGAGTCAGCCACACTCCTTCCTTACACAGGGACTTCACTGATTCGTCACTGTTGTTGGCACACACTGTGAGAAGACACAGCAATTGAGCTGTTATTCGAGCTTTCAGAGGAAAATTAAAAACTGCAGAGCCTTGAGCATACAATTTTTTTTTCTTTCCACAAGCTCACACTATCTTATTAACAACTATTCACCACTTTTTGCACAAGGTCATAATCACAGTAAATTTGAATGGTGGGACATGTCAGGGTGCCAACTCAGGTAATGGAGCAGTCGAATGTTTTTGATTGATTCAAGCTTCAAAAAGCCAGACTCTAGTGATGACCGACGTCTTTTTCAGACACTTCATACCCGAGTCCAGACAGTCAGTGACGGTGCCCCCCTCCCCAAAGAGACTCGTGTTGGCTGCCTCTGCCAATGACCCATGTTGTGTGAAAGAGGCGGAACAATGATTAGGCCCTCGTGGGTTGGATTTCAAGTGCTCTTTTTTGAGTGGCAATCAGCTGTTATGCCTTGGTGAGAAGCCTTGAATAAAACTGTCCTTACCATCATAGTCTCCCGTACCATCCTCATCGTCCTTACCATTGATTTCATAGGCATACACTTCCCCGTACATCATCCAGTACGGCTGGAAAACCACATCTTTGGCCAGTGTCCAACTGGCCTCCTCCTCTGGGTACAGAATAGCTTTCCTGGGTACGCCATAACTCAGTAGGACTATCGCCATTATTACCACAATATAAAACATGTTGGCCACCTGCAAGAGACGTCACACGTACTGAATGAAACATATGACATATGACTTGAAACAATATCTGAGTTATAAAGTACAAAGTAAAAAAGCTTAAAACACGGTGTTAATGATGCCGTTTCGTTAAGTAGTACGGAGACATGTGTTTTTTCTGTTTTATTACGTCTGAAGAAGAGGTCGTCTCGGCTGAAATACTGTTTACGCCTGAGACCACTAGTGCATTTTGTGGACTCAAACACTTGACCCACCCCTCCATTAGCACAGTGGTGAGTAGCTAATGAGTGAATTTTCATTTTTCGGTGAACTATACCTTTAACAGTGGTATGTGAAATGCGTATTCAAATAACTGAGAACTCACCATTTTAGCAATCATCATGACGTAAGGGCCAGCTTGTTGGTTGACAGCCAGGATATCCAGGAGTCGCACATACCAGAAGATGATATTGAGACAGTAAACTGTCCTGCCAGGGATGAAGGCTGCACCTCCGCCCAACCTCAGGCCAAAGCCGATAAAGAAGATCACAATGGCCAGAAAATCGGACACATTGAAATAGTCACCGAACCACACCTTTATCTTCTGGCTGATTTTGCCTGCTTCAGACATGAACATCTGGAAAAAAGGAGGTGGTAAAGTCAAAAGGAGTTATTCCACAGTCTCTGAGGAAGTGAATTTGTAGGAGCGAGAGAAACTGGTATCAAAAGCAATGACTTTCTGATGAATACATTTATTATCTTCACCACTTTGAAATCAAAGAGTATCATTTATGCTTCTTTAAAAGTTTGACATCTGTTTCAAATACCTCTCGTATTTTCTCAATGGCAGAGGTGAAGATGTAGAGGATGACCACCCACTCTTGAGATGAAGGAAACTTGGGCATTTTCACGAGGACCACATACGAATAGAACATCAAGAAGCCCAGGTAGAAGAGCTGAGGGTGGGAAACACACAACATGACTCACAAAAAAAAACGTCCACTGCCACATTATACTAAACATTTTTAACTAGATGTAAGTAAAGGATTTATTCTAACCTAGAATAGAAAATCTGATTGCTAAATCTAGGTGCCTCATAAATATAGACACTGAACTGTGCTGACAAAGAGCCTTTGAACAAAGTCAGTCCCTGAGAGAAGCTTCTTCTCTCTAAAGTATTTTTGAGACAAGGTAAAGGTGAAGTGATGCCCACAGAGAGAACTGAACCTCTTTAGCTACTTTTTTAATCACATAGCAACTTAAAGCTCCATTGATCTATATTTTAAAGAAATATTGAATGGAATCATTGTGTGTAATGTGAAATTAGTTGCTCATAGTGATGAAACCTCCTGTTAGGCCTCTTTTGCTTATTTGATTGATTTTACAGGACATGTGCTGAATGTTAGAGTTCAGGCTTTGTGAGACATTTTTTCTGCCCCCTACTGGACACAAAATCAAGCAATGCAGCTCTAACAATGCCTGTTGACTGACATCAAATTTTAAACAGACATTTAAGAGAATGGATCCTGCTGACTATGGTGATCCCCACCAGCAGATTGATATTTCACTCTTCTTGAAATATTCAACATCTAGAGACGACTTGCTATGAGAAATGCTTCCGTTCGGACCTCTGAATACTGAGGTGGCTGGTAAATATTTGATGGATTTCCATGACTTTTAATACAGCAGGTTAACGTTTTCACATACTTTATGGATCGGTTCAAGTATCAAGGTAAAGACGTTTATGGTGCCTAGGTTTTGTATCTTAATGACTTAAGCAATTCTCAAAATTTTACTCCACAACAAGTTTGGGGTCAAGGTTTTTGGATGGAAGGCCATGAAATTTGTTGTTGACGCATAAACTCTTGTGACTCTTGTAATCCCATGACTTGTCATATAGAACAATCAGGTCAACACTTAAATTCATGGCCCCATACCTGTATCACTACAAACGTCCCATCAGCCTTTGTTACAACTTAATACAACATGTAGACTTATCTTTAAATAGTGGTCTAAAGCTCCATTTACCAATATTTAAAAAAAATATTCACTTATTCTTCAATTTCACCATTAAACATTTACATATTTACTTTTAGTTTTATTACATTAACAATGCAAAATGCTGCTTAAAAAGGGAGAGGTGATAAAATACATAGTTGTTCATTAGCGTATTAACTTTGTGGTTTCAACTGATGAGTACTGATGATAGTACTTAATAAATTACATAGAAAGCACAAGCAGCAAAGTTACATTAACTCATTTTTGATTAAAAAACACTAAGGCTGTGGGAAAGCATGAAGGTGTCCATATATGCAGGTTTGGGCAACCTGGATTAAATCAACCATTAAAAAACTTGCTGAACCTTGACATTCGAGATGGGAACTTGTTGGAAAATCAGCCATTAACACTCCCGTCTGATGGGTAATGTGTTGAAATTGGGAGAGAAGCATGTACAGCAGATGTAGATAAGCTCAGACACAGGTGGTGTTACATACACTTGCAGTCTCAGTGATGTTATCAGCCTGAAGAACAGCCTGAAAAACAGCCCTGCCCAGGGCAGCAAATAAAAACTTCAATGACTGCCCCCATGTTCCTGAGAACCAGCCCTAGGCTTGTGTATATGAATAAACATAAGACTGTGCCATGGAGCTAGAAAGGAGAGAGATGCGCGTTGGACATAATGAGGTTATGTCCAATGCGCAACGTTTGACTCTACCCTCGAATTAGAGCAAATACAGACTATTGATGCGTCACTATGAGATGTATTATGTGGATTGAGATGTATTGTATGATAGCATTCCCTCAGATGGGTGGTGCTGCACTGTGTGAGTCATTCAGTGCTAATATGCTCAGACTGAGGGATTTTTTTTTCTATTATTCGTATTGAGCCACTTTGTGTGTGGATATCTGATAAGGTTTCACCTTGACCCTCTCCTGTGGTTTTTTAACATACCGGTGAGATTGGAACATTTGAGGGCCTTATTTGCAAGTGAACGCAAAGGTTTGATCGTCCAATGATGACTTGCCATGGCTGCAGTAAAGCAGGTTTTGTGGAGACAACACTTATCTTTTGGGAAAACCTCTGTTTTTAACCTAGAGCTAAATGTCCAATGACATGTATGTGAATTCTCTGCAGGTTGGCTCCAGCATCTTTGTAGATCCTTCTACCCAGATTAAACACCACAAAATGGATAGCTGGAAAGATGGGTAGACCAAACTGGTAGATATTTGTGTGTCTTCTCTAATCTTCATACCGTGTTGGACCAGAACTTGACAATGGGAGCGTGGTAGAAGGCATAAATCTTCCTGGTTAACGGCAGCTTCCTGGAACGAATGTGCGTCTCCATGTCGTTTTTGGCCTCCACATGGTCGTGGGATCTTGCCTCCTTGAACACATCCTGCCAAGAGGATAAAAAGGCCAAAATTAGATGAATGGAGAGACAGAAATAAAGCTAATAAAAGGTCAGAAAGAAAGGAATTGAATGCCCTAAGTGCAAATAAGTATTTATCAGCAAACTTTTAATTTGAACAAGTTTTTTAAGGATTTATTATGCTATTGGACTGAAAGACTACTTTGATAGATAAAAACATTTTTGATTGAAGAACGGAGGGACTGACCATTTGGATGTCTTCAGGTATGTTCTGAAAGTTGTGTTCGCTGTCCTCCATGGTCATCTGGTGGTCATCCTGACTCTGAGGGATGTGCGCCATCTCAGCCTTGGATTTGTACTCCAACAGAAGGATGGCAGGAGGCACCAAGATACTCAGAATCACCTACACACAAACAAACACACACTACTGTGGGTGGATGCTGCTATATTTGTCGATGCAGTTCTTTAAATTACATACGGGTGACCAATCACAAACAATAAGGCCAGCTTAATCTGAGAGTTTCAGACAGAGGATGAAAAGAGTCGCTGCAGCGATGTACTGAATGAGTCAAATAAGTGTATTTTGAACATTACAACATCTAAACCTATTCTTGCAGAACTCCTTATGACTAATCAGTGTTTCCTCTAGGATTGTTTTTAGCAGCATCTCACTTGTGTTGTGTGTGGCAGGTGAACTTTTTTCTTCAATGTGTTCAAAAAACACGTCTCATAATTTCTTGAGAAAATCAAACACAAAGTAAACTTCAAGTACTGTACGTTTGATGTTAATATTACTGGTCACACAAAAATATCATTATTACTGACAGCACATCCATCTCATCTACTATCTACTAATTCCAGAAATCTCTGTCCATATTCGGCTTGCATATCTTAAGAACTGTTCATCCGCCTCACCCTTGGCATGAGTATTAAAGTCCCAAGGAAGTGTTGTGTCGAATTTGGACACTAGATACATTAAATATTAATAAACTTTGATTTAACAGACGACCAAGATTTTTGATATCAAAAATAAAATCCAAATGGAACATGAACCTTGTACCAGGAGTTCTTGCGCATGTTCAGCCTTCCCATCCACATGTCAGACAGCAGCATCTGGGTGCAGGTGTGAGCCACAAAGGGCCTTAAATGGGAGGAGACAGCCAACTTCAAACAGGTAGAGTTGCTCCAATTCTTCAGCTCGTAGGTGAGCAGCTTCATGGCCATGGTCTCGTCCTGTCTGAATGACTGCTCCAGCAGGTCCACGGCTAGCGTCCCAAACTCACTGAAAAACATCAGCTCCATCAACAAGGTGCTTTCTAAAATAAATTCAAGAGGTTAAATAACTATTTGACATGTACCAAAGCCACAGAAAAAACATACTTTGAATACTCCTTGAGCTCCTCTGACGTGTCGTCCACCACGTCACTCTTCTTGGCCTCGTATCCCATCGACCGGCAGAGTTTACAGGCCACCAGTGCCTTTGCCATGTTTTCCTCGCCATGCTGCCAGAAGAACAGCGACATTTTCTGCCTCTTCATCAGTACAGCCCACACCAGGAGCTCATTGAAAGGGTAAGGGAACCGCCGAGTCTCTGGGTCGTCTATGTCCACAATCTCTTCTTTGCTCCTCTTTTTGTTCTGCTCTGTGGAAGACTCGAGCTACGAGGAGAAGGAAGAAAGAGCGAAAAGGGGAACAAGGAGACAGACGTTTTCTGCCATTAGGAGTGGCTCTAGATACAGATAATATCTGGAGATGTGGCGACGCTCTCGTCTAAAGGAGGCCATGTTCTCTTTTGGTGAACACAAGTAGTTTACCTTGGGTTTGTATGGCTGTGCGGTTTTGATGAAGTGGTTGTGCCTCGTCTTCTCCTTCTTGTCAGCCTGCATGCTGAAAGACTCGTGGCTTTTCCTCAAATGAGAGCCAGGACCTGCTGTGTGGCGCCCTGATCTCTGTGCACAACATAGAAACATCTTCAGGTTTACTGAACGATCAGCTTTTATTACAGTTCACAAAACATTTAAATATTCCTTGCCATTAGTACAATGTTACTGTAGTTACTTTTGATGATAAAATAAAGTTTTGTTGTAAAGGTAAAACACACAAGTTTCAAATATATAATATTTGAAACTATTTGAAATAAAAATATTTTGGGCATTGCTACCAAGACATTGCAAAACAGTTTTAACTCACCCTACTGTTGCTATGGAGATTGTTGTAAATGATTCGGAAGCGTTTCCTGGTGTAGTTGCACCTGTAAGTTCCGCCCATGAGGAACTCAATAACCAGACCCACGTCAATCAAAGTGATTTTATAATTTGGAGGCAAATGACTCTGAAAGAGGGAACAGAGAATGAAAATGGTGAGTGAGACTGGTTAATGTAAACAGGTAGAATATATCTAAAAATGTAAAGAATATATAGCTAAAGTGAGCTGACTACCTGTTTAACATCTCTAACCAGATGGAGGAGAGTTGGATTGTTGGGAGGCTGTTTCTAAAACAAAGGGTCACAAAAACCTTCAGAACATATAATATATATACATATGCATACACACGTAAACATATATTTTATGTAGTGGTTGATTTCATCATGTTACCGTGTTGTAGAGCTCTTCCAGCCGATTGATTGTCAGAAAACGGTGCATGCTGACACCGTTTTCTATGAGCAACTTGACAAAATCCACCCTGTCCATCACTAGTGCATCCAGCATGGCTTGCTCCAGAGAGCTCACCTTAACACAGAAAGATAAACATACTGTTATAAAGCATATTTTCATAGCAAATGATTATTTACTAAACACGTTGGCCCAACTACTAAAAAAACACATGCAAGAAGTATAAACAAACTTATTATCTATTCTCTTGTTTGCTCAAGAGCCGGGAGTCCCCGACTTTAAAAATAAACACGAACACTGAGGGCTGCTCACGAAGACGACAGTAATAGGGTTCATGTTACAGTCAAGACAAGTAGTTCACAGAGGCCTGACCGAGTCCAGTCCCCTGGTACTTCAGAATAGAGACGCACACACACACGCACGCAGACCTACCAGGAGCTGCTGTCCATACACAAACACATGATTCTTGGCAATGTCTACACGATCCCAGGCCAGAGTCAGGACCAGCTGATCGAAGGCAGATGCATTGGTGCCTGAAATACACAGGTGTAAAACACACACATACACAGATATTAATTCCCGGGCAAGCGTATTGTAACGTGTATTTCCTGTATGCCAGGCCGCAGGATTAGAGGGGGTTAGCAGAGCAGGGCCAGGGCAGTAATACAGTCAATTACACACTAATACAGCAACAGAGCATGAGACTACAAAGCAGTCGATTGTGTAAATCTCAAATAAGCAAGAAAAAGACTGGAAGTTGATCAAGGGATTTTACTTAATTAAGTTTTCAGATAAGCAGTCTGATAAATAAAACATACTTGAAAAAAGAGGATGTATTCTCCAGTGTGTTCAGCTTTTAACAATAACGACACCATTTCCCGTTATTAAACTTTCCATTTAATATCCAGTGCATAAAATGAATTGGTGAAGTGGAAAAGTCTCTCAGCAGCACACATTGTATTTAAAAGGCTTGAGAGCTTTCGCACCCTTGGGTCCTTTTAAAGGATGAGTTACTGTTTCACCAAGATGAGTGTGCTCTTGGCCGGCATATATTTGATTGAGTGGACATTTCAGTCGCAGTCAACTGTTTTTCTTTTGATCGTCCAAACCTGTTTCTCCAGGTGATCGATCAGCTGCTGTCAGGTGTAAATGCCTGGCTTTTGTTTAAATTAAGTGGAATGCGTGTGAACAACTGTCTCTGCTGTGGATTTGTTGCGACACCCATCATTCAAGTGAAAAATAAGTGCCATACTTGAAAAGAGAAATGCATTGACACAAAATACACAAAACTGACCCTCTACAGCAGAACAGAAACAAAGGTAGAGTTGCTCAGGTGAATGTCTAACTTCTTTAACAGACGGAGAGAGCGAAGGAGGGATACGACTGAGAGACATCCAGCTCAGAGACGGACAGTGCTGGAATGAGGAGGCCCTGTGAATGCCAGCAACACAATCTCCTCAGGAACAGAAAGAAAGGGGAACACAGAGGGGGAACTCTGTTCTCAAAGCATATCTATATCAGAATGAAAACATGACCAAGTCCTGAAACCTTAATCTCCCAGTATCAACAACGTCAGCGTATGAATAGACTGAATCAACTTTACGAGAGAGCGAGAGAGAGAGAGAGAGAGAGAGAGAGAGAGAGAGAGAGAGAGAGAGAAGGGTGGGGGGGCAGTGGAAATAACAGGCTGCTGTCTCAGGAGGGGCTCTGAAAAAAAAGAGAGCAAGGGGTGAGAA